GTAGCATGGCACAGATGACTGTTCAGGCAAGTAAGATGAGATGCGATGTCCACACCTCAGCTAGGCAGGTGACTCCCTTTACAGACCATGACAAGAAATGGGACTTGTAAGCTGTGATTCACCTCATCCAAAAATGACTGTCCAAACTATGTCAGACAAATAATTTGCTAAGAGTATCTGTTGAATGCTATTGATTGTAAGGCAAATTCAAATCAAAATTGCAGATATTCAAATACAGGAGACAAATCTTATCCTTAAAAAAAATCCTGAACAACCAAACTTCTTTTTTTTTTTTAGTTTTACATTTCTGTGAGGAAAAGAAAATGGAAACACATAGAACATGACAGGACATATTTGTATTTCTTTTTATTTCTTCTTTTTTTTTTTTCTTGATTGACAGTCATCAATTGATTACTAAAAAAATCTTGCTTCTCATAGTGTACAACTGGGTTTCATTGAATTCCTCTTGTATTACAATCAATGAAAATATGATTGGTCCTGCAAAAATATATGAAAGTGGGCAATTTACTTATCGTTTGTTCTCAAACTTTGGTCTTCATAATTAAGAATTCTATAATTCAATTTTTCATACCTTGGTTTGATTGCTAAATATTGGAAGTATACAGTCCTGATAATCCCCTGAAGACATCCAAGGCTAAACTTTGGTTCAAGCTTTTTTAGAAAGTACGTAAAATACTGTACGCGTAATCAATTAACACAGAAAATGTTTCATGACTTTCATCAAAACATCACAAAAAGCATTTAATTGTGTACTAAGACAGGCTCTTGTATTTGGATGCATACCTGTACAGTGGCTAACAGGACCTTGTCTATCACTCTACAGTATTATATAAGGTTATCAATAGTCTTGTTGATGAATTTTTATTGTATTTCTTGAGGCAAATTAAATAGACATTTGTACTTAACTATAAAATGTTTAGTGAGCAGTGCGTTGAGCAGAATCCTACCACCATAAGTGGCTCTACAAGGAGTTTGCAAAGATATGGCATGAGGCAACTCCTTATATATCCTTGCACCAGCACCAATCCCATGAAGGTCAACATCAGGTGCCTCAGCCTGGTATTGGATTCAACCTCCAGTGGCAGTTCTCTTTATCAAAAGTGATCCCTGAACACCCACATACCATAATTGCTACAAGACAATGTTGTGGTATATCTTCTCTCTTAATCTCATTAGACATTCTGTCTCTCCCTTCTAAATCATCCCTTGGTCATGAATTACCATTGCTGAGCAGCTACAGTTTGAATTTCCCTTTCAGCCTGCAAGTATTCATAACATGGAAGTTATATTTCATCTTGATCTAAACACTCTTAAAGCCCTCCAGTAATCACAGTCATTAAGAGTAAGTTTCAAGTGTTAAAAAGGTTTAGCTACCTTAGTAACATCCTCTTCAGCAAGAACTGATGGCAAAATATTTACAAAGTTGTATTTAGAGGAAATTGAAAAGCAACCAAGGTAACTGAGTATTAGAATGATGTAATTTCTGTTCTCCTTAGTTTTGTGGGTTTAACTATTTAATTTATCACATCTGGCTGCTCGAAAAATTCCAAAATTCTATCCATTCTGTATTATGGCACCAACATGTGACAAGCAGTGATTTTTATAATGCTACTGAAACTGTGCTGGTAATATTTTGCTTGTGTTGGTTCAGTTATGTAGTTGACACGGAAGACCTCTGGTTTCTCAACCATGTCTTTTATAACCATCTTTTTTTGCACAAAAAAACACCTACAGTTCAGCAAGGGCCTTTAAAGACACCCTAAAACTAAATATGTCCTGAGGTAAAGTTGAGTAAAGTGGAGGCCACAAAAAAAAAAAAGGAAAAAGTTTAACGAGAATTAACTATTTCCTAGTTATAAGAAATTCATATTCCAAAGATGAAACTGTACATGATCCTTGCAAATCTTCTGTTCTCACTGAATTGAACTTAGAATTAGTGAAGTAGATTGCAGCATCACCCACTAAAAATAATCATGGCCATTTATGATGACCAAGCATGCATATGATAAGTAAGGACAAAAAGAAAAGGGGGAACAAGAGAGAGATGTAATGTGACAGATAAAAAGTAACCTGAAAATGTAAGTATTTTATATCAGTTTTAAACAGATTACTAAATTTTCTGTCGCTTTCACACTGGCAGTGTATCTTGTAATTAACCAATAGATAAAAATTTTCAGAAGTTGACAATGGAATTTTTCATTTTAAACATAGAGGAGTGGAATTGTCTTGTTGGTTGGGTTTTTTTACAACAACCATTTTTAAGTGAGCTACTGTTCTGCAGGCTGATTAAAAAGAAGTAGCTAGGTGGTGGAACAAAGGGCTTAATGCTTGTACTCTTGCTTTACAGCAGAGAATTTTGTAGAAGTATGTCAAAGAGTTCTAGTGAGGAGGTATCTCTCATCTAGTTGGATAAGACATTTCTTTACAAGAATAAAGACTAAATTCTTCTTGGTATTAGGTATCATCTCTGACTCATCCTCTCTAACAGTTCAAATCAGTAAGAGCAAAAGTGTGGAGTGCCTTCACATTCTCTTTCAAATAGGAAAAAGTACGTAGACTTCCTTGTCCCAGATAAATTTAATCTAAAAAAAATCAAATTGTTTTTTTATTCCCTAGGAGAAACATTCTACTGAACAGGTTGATTAAGATTGCCAGTAACCAAGCTGTCATTCCTAATCAGGAAATAGCTAGTTGATATGAGTCACTAAATATTGTTCACTGCATACTGAAGAAGACTGATTCCCTCCTGGGTTACTCCAAATTTTCAAGTATACCTCCACTAATTAATACTGTCAATAAAATACAGATGATCTAGGGCTCTTCAAATTTTTTTATTATAGAATGTTGACATTCTCTGTAATGGTAGGTTTATAAGACTTCTGGAGAACAGTGAAAGGCTGTTATCAATTTCCTTAGATGGGAAGACATATCTGTAGAAAGACAATATTTATTAACTGAATAACTGTATAGTGATTTTCTTTCTGATACGTGGATTTTACCAATATAGTCTCTGATTAAAAAAACATATCCAGTTTAATATAATAAAAATTTCAGGAATTGCTTTTCTATTTTTATGAGTATTTTAGTGTGTTATTATTCAGACTAAATATTATTAATAATATGGCTTTTAATTTTACAGAGTCAATACTTATTTTATGCTCCCACTGATCACTTGTATGTTGTTTATCCTGCTTCTGATATCTTTAAATCCTTTTGTTTTGCTACCTGCTATACTGTTCTGGGATTCAAAAAATACTGATCATTGAAACAGTGCATGATGGAAAGTTTTTCATTTATGTTAAACCCCTTTCCCTGAGGAAAACAGAAAAATAAACAACAGAAATAATTTTATAACATCTTAAAGAATTATCATCTGAATCACCAGAGGTGACCATTCGTGCAATCAGAGTTCATACCAATCACAGGAAATGTTGACTGGGCATTATTTGGGAAGGATTTACAGGATATCTGGTATTCGTCGTGTATTTAATTTTTTTTTAAAGGACAAATAAGGATATATGTACCTCTGTATAAAAGCTGTCAAAAAAGATTTGGGTTTTGGTCATTCATTTTTGTTGGGGTCTTTTTGTTTGATTGTTTCTTTTTTTCTTTTGTTAACAAATTATTTTAGTTGTAGTTATTTATTTACTTAAATGCAAATGCTATTTAAAGGGTGTAGAGAATTTAATATATCAATGTGGTAGAGCATTTATAAAATGTTAAATTTTTAACTTCTCTGTTTCTTAGAAGATCCTCCCTATCTTTTCTATTGGTCAAAAAAAATTAACAAGACTAACTTACCTGATATAGTATGAAAAAGAACAAGAACCTGTTTCACAATAGCTAAGCGGTTGGGAAGGGAAAAAAAGGAAAATGAAAAGGAGAAAAACTTCATTTATACTTTACTTACTGTTGTGTTGATGTAAGAGAAGATAAATTATTCGGTAAGGCCAATGTTCCAGCAATCTTTTAGATTCTTTAATTATTTAATTCTTTAAATTCTTAATTATTTTATTTCACTTTGAAATAATTTATTTTCTTTCCATCACAAAATTCTAATTGGTAATTAGAATTACCAATGAATTTGGGGCTTATTCTGTAAAGAAGAAGATAGGGTTGTTTGGGGTATTTTTTGTTTTGCTTTCTTTTTTTTCTTTACTTTTTAAAATATTTCCTTTGAGAAAAATAAATCCAAACTTCATCTTGACCTAGCTGATGAAGGTCTGAAATTAATCAAAGGTGATATGTATTTAGATTCAAGGCTGAAAAGCTAAGACTGTCTTGAATTCTGAATAAGTCTTAACTAAAGTAGGAAGAAAAGTAGTCACCTTATGAAATATGTGTGACAGAGAGAAGAAATTGGAAAATCAATCCTGTCTGCCTCATTTAAACATTTTATTTTCCTCCAGATGAACCAGTCCATCCAAAAAAAAAGCATGTCTCTCATGCAAACTAAATTCAGAATGCCTAAACTAGGTTTTCAAGCTCTCTTTAGAATTAATGGACACCTAACCAAAATAAAAAGGCAGGCTAGGTTCATTTGCCTAAATGTGCATATCTGAGACTATGTGAGATATCTCAGATTAGCTGTATTATTCATGTAGTGCTGGCAGACTTGATGATGTCAAACTGATGGAGAACTCATATCTCTATGGTGGGAACCAGAGGCCAGGATATCCTGCTATACATCAGATAGAAGTAAAATATTGATATGGAAGTTCTTAAGGTAGGCTCCCCAGTACGAGTTTGATTAATCCTTCAGGACATACACAAATTTACAGATTATTAATGCTTTATCAGAAAATATTTACATTTGATATCTTCAGGAGGACCTTTTGAAGTACATCTATGAAGCAGGTTTATTGCAGATGGAAGCAACCAAAGAATTCAGTTCAACCTTCCAATTATCATTATTATTCATCTATCATGGTTTGAGCCGCCCCCTCCCCTCTCCGTGGGGCTGGAAGTGGTTGGTCCCAGGTGAGTTTCCGATCAGGGGCCAGTCAGAGCTGTGTTTCACCCCTGTGAAATTAGGACATTACAACAGCCGGAGGAAGTTGTTGGCAGGAAGAGACAGAGAATGGAAGCCACCTCCTCATGAGGTGAGAGGAGAGAGGCCTGCTGGCCCCTTGCAGGGGGCCAGGCCCTCTTTTTCCCCCCTCGACTGGGCTGCGGGGAGCCCAGAGCAGTATATTAACTGGACCAGGTGCCTGTGGCCAAAGGCTAGGGGTTTTTTCCCCCCACTGCCCAAGAGAGGCGGTGGCGTGGACTTGAAAGGCCTGCCAGCGGGTTGGAGCTAGCTAGCCCCCGGCAGGCAGGCTCGGTATTGGAGCCGAGCCAGATACAGGCCGAGGGGTGGCCCAGGAGCTGCAGAAGCAGCGGAGATTGTGCAGAGCTGGAAGAATTCCAGGCAGAGGATGAGAGAAAGACTCCAAGCAGTCTCACTGCCACTTTCCCCTCCCATAATGGGGTGGGAGGAGGCGACTCTGAATTGAGAGTGAGCAACGAAGAGAAGGGCTGAGGGGCTCGGAGGAGGCCCTATGCGAGGTTTGGGTGAAAGCAGCCGAAAACTGAAGGAGGAATGCAGGGGGAAGAATGCCTCCCATGACATGTGGAAGTCGAGCTGAAGCTGCAGCAGCTTGAAACAGAGAGAAGCCAAAACAAGCAGGCTTTTTCTGGGAAAGGACTTTTGGTGAAAACTATTTGGGGTATAAAGACTGAGCAAAACCCAGAAACCCTGTACCCTGGAGAGTAAGAGTGGACATCTTACTCTCTGGGAGGAACCTTCATGAACCCAGGGGGAAAGGACTCAAAAGCTGACTCCCTGTAAATCGTGATGAAGACCTGGTAAAACAAGTGTTCTGTTGTAGTCCAGGAGGAGACCTCAGCAGGGCCAAGCAGCTGGTGGAGGTAAAGAAGACCCCTTCCTCGATACCCCAGTGAGAGACTTTAGCTATCGTCCTGGAGTGTTCTTCTTCTGGACTGATGTGGGAGAGCCCCAGGGGTGGTAGAGATTGTATTAATACTGTGTATTTATTTGCTTTTTAGTTTCTATAGTATTTATTGTGTTAGTAATAAATTTTGATATAATTTTCCGCATACTAATAGATGTGTTATGTCTGAAAACCCCTCTCACATTGAAGCAAATTGTGGGGAAGCTTGGAAATTGGATTTTTGGAGAGCTCAAACCACAACAGTGACATATGCTAAGATTTTTCTGAAAAGTCATGACTTCAGTCATACTTTCAAGAATGAGTACATAGAATATTAATTTGAATAAATTAAAAATATAATTATTAATGCTGAAAAATAGCAGTTGAACCAAGCGTGCTATCTTTAATTAATTTTATCTTTGTCTTTAATCAATATTAAAGATTTTTAGTTGTTTGTTTTTTTTTTTCCTTTCTTTTATTGCAAAACACCAGATCAGGACATAAATAAACTCATGTGATAAAATTTTATAAAAATATTAAGACTATTTTGGACCAAATCTTGGGACTATTACATTATAGGAAGCAAATGTATGCTTGTGACAATATAGAAAAACCCCAAGCCATTTTTTTCGACAGGTAAATACTTTTGTAAATTATTTACTTTTTAAGTAAGAGTGTTCAAGATAATTTGAGATAACATTGTGCCTTTTAAAAACCACTATTTTGAGGACACATTTCAGGCTATTAAAAAACATCTAATTAGAGACAGTCATGGTGACTCAGTGCATTGTAGGCTTTTCTGTGGAAAAAAAAAGAGAATTCCAGTGGAATCAGACTTCTTTTTTTGTTGTTTGTTTGGTTTTTTGTTTGTTAGGATTTAGAGATTAAGTATAATTAAATTTTCTTAGGCTGCCTCAGTGTTTTCCTTTAGTCAGCATCACTCACACTGTTACTTTATATGACAGCGGACTCCTGGCCTCTCATGGCAGAGAAAATGAGAGGGAGAATCTCTTCACCACTGAGTCGCTGTGAAGGCACAGTTGGAAACAAACTGTAATTTTAAATCATCATTGCATCATTGCTAGCCTGCCTTTTATATTTACAGGCATGAAAAATATCAGAGAATACTGTGGAGTAGTAAAACCTAATGTTAGACCTGTGGTTTTTGAAATTATTAGCTCATGTTAAAAATATGCACAGGAATATTTCATTCAGATTCTGTAACTGACTGAATCAGTCACAGAAAAATAGAAACAGCAGTTCTCCATTTTTAGAGGACTAGAAAAAACCACTATGTTTTAGTAAACAGAACTTTATGTAGCTAATGCCTATGCCCCTGTTCTTTCTATTTTCTTTCTTTTTATTTTTTTTAATTTATATATAGACAATTTGTTAAAATCAAGGGAAAATTACCTTTACTTGTTTGCCCTAAGTGAATAGAAGAGTATGAAACTTTGAACTTTGGGTTTTCTTTTATTATTTCTATTATTTTTCATGTTTCATTGTTAATCTTTGATTCTAAACTTTAATTGCTCAGTCAGTTTAAAACTGTAGTTAAAAATGCTTCAGACATTTTTAAAAACAGAAATTCTGAGAAATTTCCTACCATTGCCAGGAACTCCAAAATAAAACTTTCTTTATAATAGAGAGCACAGATGTTGTAGTTCTTAACAAACTAGAATTCTGAAAATGCTATCCATCTCAAAGGTAATGCAATGGTAATGACTGTAATACATATCATTTCACTTCCGATGCTAGTCCTACTTAACAGTCTATAATAAAACACTCTTTGCATATTTCATGTGTAACTGATGATTTTAAAGCTAAGGGTAGATAAATCCTGCTTTATGTTAGCTGTTTTGAAGGTGGGGGTTGCACTGCTTTCTAAAGCAACATGTCTGCATTTAGGATCCTCTTAATGTACTCCTTCCTCCTCTGTACTCTCTAGAATTAATCCCACCAAGTTTCAGTAATGGCATCTAGGTCTTAAATCCATCCAATTAAGTCTATCCATTCAGTGACGTACATATAGTTTATACAGTGTAATTTTTGTGATAGTGGGGTACATCATCTGGTCTCCAGCAGCCCCTTGCTTTCCCTTCACCACAAATGCAAAAGGCCTCTGCTGTCTGACCATCAAATCTAATGATCTTCTGCAGAAATCTATTACAGCTTCATGTATGTCAAGTGATACTGGACACTGATGGTCAGGCAAGAGAACCCCATGCTACAGGATATATGTATAACCAGTGCAGAAGAGAAATGTTTGCAGCAAGTTGTTAATCCTGTCTGTATTATGTTTCTCTGGTGTGTAGCTCCATTGGTGGTTGAAGGATGATCGGTGTTTACCTGAGAATACATACTGAATTTACATATGGCTGAAATTAGTGTAGGTTAATCCCACTCCCAGGTTGATGTGGAGGGTAATGTTTGGCTTTTTCTTTGTGTTGCTTTTTTTAGTTTGTTTTTTTGTTTGTTTGTTTGTTAGGGTTTTTTTAAATAGCAAATACATTCATATCTCTAGCCACTGGACTTTATAGCAACGTAAAAATGTTATCTAATAGGTACAAAATCTTTGATGGATTATATTATTTCCTTTCTCTAACTTTCTAACTGGAGTTTTATACATTCAGGTTGTGTGGAAATGCATTCCTCAAAACTGAAAAGATAAAACCAGGAAAAAATGCTTATTTTCTAACTGTATTTCTATCTGCCAATAAAATACACTAGAATTCAATGGATTGTGAGAAAATTATTAAACTGATGGTAATATCAACAGTGGAGTAGAAGAAAATGCTGTTTTGGGCACTTTGCAAGACAATAATAGAACAAATACACAAATACTGTAAACACATTAAATGGAGTAAATCTCATACCTGAATTGGACATCTTCAAAGAGAGTAATGGGCACAACAAGGTTTAAAACATTTTTTTTAAGAACTCAGCAATCCAACATATGGTTATTATATTTTTTTATGAAGCGTAAGGGAGTTGAACACTTTTTAGTCTTTGCTAAGGAAAATTCCAAATTTAACAAAAGGTAAACAAGAAAAAAAGCAGTAGAAAAACTCAGTTTTTCTCCAGTTTACAGCAACTCAGAATTTAAAAAAAAGGCAGTTACAATATTTGCAAACTTACAACAGTCATGTAAGGTACATATCTGAAGTAACTCCTATTAGCAAGTGGAAAGAGAAGATACCAGTTTACTACTATTATTTATTAATATGAAATGCATCAATCCATAATTAGGAGTGATGGGATTTAGGAAACTTCTTGGTAGCTTAAATAGACAATTGTTCTTATAAAGAAAATGTGAGGCAAAAGTGACTACAGAAGTTTCTCTGGAGGATTGATTTTGTATATGTTTATACAGAGCATTTTTATATTATGTGCATGTACCTAATTTTATGTTCCTATTTTTATAGGAAAAATAGCATATTTTAAATATGTGTAATATTTATAACAGAAGAATAGTAATTTCAACAGTTACAGTTATTGCTTAGTTTCCTTGTTATTCACAAACCTACAGAATACTATGCTTTACTGAACTCTCAAAATGCCTGCATTAAACCCCATGCCGAGAATATGTGACTGTCCTTTGGCTTTGATGGCATTCAAATCTACTCCTTTGGGCATGCACTAGTCTCTATTTATGTCTAATATAATTTAAAAAAAGAGATATAATAGGGACCACATTTTCTTTTAATTAAGAATTTGTGCCTTTTCTTGACACAGGATCTTCATCTACAAATGATGAACAGACATTTGGCACACTACAAAATGATCAGCAAAAGAAAGGATGTCCACGCCATTAAAAGTTCTGTGAGTCAGTCTATCCCTGACTTTTTTGACTCAAACTAACATTTTCATGTCTGACACAAAAAAATAGCAATTATTTTAAATTGTTTTATTTATACTTTCTAAATAACAGACCATTATTTGTAAAGGAGATGTTTCTTTTTTTTTCACTGTAATCACTACTGTAGTTTTTCAGCATAGTATGAATCCTTTAAATAAGCTTCAAATCCATCTTCATGTGGGTTTTTTGGGTTTTTTTGTTTGTTTGTTTGTTTTGGTTTTGAATTTTTCTTAATAAACTAGGTAGCATCAAGTTGGTTTTTGTCACATAATGGAACATTAGGAAAATACATAATGTGACACTAAATGTATTATTCTTTGCATGCTTGGATGTATGGCATACAGTTCCAAATGCCTGACTGATCTCGGAGGAGATCTTCTAGGAATAAAAAGCAAAGACTATTAAGCACAACAAATAAATAGTGCATAGGTCTTCTCCTATGTATCCTTTACTTGATATATAATAATCACTATGGTACTGACACATATTACACATCATATTACATTCTCTGTATAGATTAGACAGATAAACATTTTAATTAGGTGGAGATAATAAACTTTTGACGTTAGGTTTTATTTCCACACCATAAAACATTTCAAATGGCTATAGTTACATTTTAAAATATGTATTCAAATATAACTATTCCAATAAAACTTTTAAGTATTTTTCTCTCCTTTTTTTAAAAAACTTGGGGGAGTTGTTTATTTGTCTGTTTACTTTTACACAGTGCACCAAACTATCCCTGACAGACTCTGCCCTGAATCTCCCAGATGGAGACTAGAAGATGTTCCATAAGCAACAGCGTTTAGGTTTGTTTAGGTTAGACTTCAGTTAATTTAAAAATTAAAATTGGAAAATTCTGGGTATGTAGGTTATAAAAATGTGATAAGGTAAACTACATAGAATCAAGCAGTAACTAGAGTAATGCTACCATCATAATCTTGTGTGTAACTGGTGATTCACAGATTAAATTAATTGTAAATTAAATAGTTAAAATCTGTCATTTTGCATTTCATATACTGAGTATCAAGTGATCATTTATGATATTTTCAAGTCAATTTGCTCTTAAATAGCACTTTAGTTCATTTTTTAAGCATGAGAAAAAGCAGTAAAATTTATTTATTGCAAAAAAATTATTAGCATAACAAAGGGAACAAGCTGATGTATGGAAATTAAACAAGAAGAAAAAAGAAGTTCAAAAGAAAGTTGAAACATTCCAAAACTGATAACAAAATGGTGCTTATTTTCAATATTAAGATTATATTGACTAAAAAAGACTCAGAAAAAGATTGTTTTGTTCCTGTGGCACACTGTTATTAACTTTTAATTAATCTACACAGTGCAGTAAAAGAAGGCAGCCTATTGTATTTACAGATCAAGATAAGTCTTCAAGGCCAAATACTCTTTCTCTTTGCTTTGTGTTCTTTTACTGCAAGACTCCCCAAATACTTCAAGATTAGCTGATAATGCCTGAGATTCATTTCAGTCATAGTTACTTCAGTAGAATTCACTATGGAATAATACCCTTGAAGGTGTCTGTTGCAGAAACATGAAATCTCATCTTCATTCTAAATACCTAGCTTGAAAAAGTTAAGTCAATGTGGTATATTTGAGGATGTTCTCTTTTTTTCCCTTTAGTTAAAAGTAGGACATTTTATTATATATAACTATTCTTCTAATAATTGAAACAATTTTAATAATTATCCATGTGCAAATTCCTTCTCCCCAAACAGAAGCACAGTGCCCAAATTAGTGTTGAAAAAAGACAGAAGAAGTGAAAATACCATGTGTTAACTCTACACTATGGATTGGGAGTGAACTTTCAGTAATATTTTCACTTTCCTCTTCAAATCTGTGATTTGATTTATGACTATGTGGGAAGGTTTTAAAGTAAACTGGCGGGAGAAATGAACCCAAATCAAGAGAGATTACAATGATCCATGATTTTAGATAAGTGAATGTACATTGGGGAGAATGTTCAACTGTAAGTCAAATAAACCCGGGGTAAGGAAAATTATTTACCTTCTTTCCCTTTTATTTTCCCTTTCCTCACAATATTTAAATTTTATTTTCCACAGATAAAATAAACTGATTTGCTACCAGGTTATCATATGCTTCTGGCATTTCCTTTTTTCTCCTTGATTTTTTCTCTCTTATTTCTACTCTTCATGATGTTTCTGAGGCTATTTACTTTATTTTTTTTGCTTGCTATTTTCTCGATGAAATGATGCATTATAAAGAATCTACATATTTGCATATATTAGACTAAGAAAGATACGGCACGATTAATTTATTATGGAATAATACTCAAACTGGGTATTAGGGAATCTGCAGACATAATTTTCTGCACTATACGAGGACTTTAGCCTAGCAGTTGCACAACACAGCTGCCCCATAATATTTGAGTCAGTAGGTGGATTGTCAAGATTACAACTCTACACAGTCTACTACTTATATTACCATGATTAGAATGCAATATTTCCTTCTCCAGAATCTGTAGTCAAGTGGTAGAGAGAGTCACCGCAAATTTTCTTAATCTTCCTTAAAGATTAATTAATTGATTCCTTTATTCACTGGAATTTAAAATGAGTATATGAATTCCCTGCATGAGAAAGAAGATACGACCTGTTACTGATACTTGTGAGGATTTATACAGGAACAGGAGCCTGATGGTTGTAACTTGAAAAAGAATCACAGAATCAATTAGGTTGGGAAAGACCTGAGATCATTCAGTCCAACTTATGACCAAACACCACCTGGTAAACTAGACGATGGCACTAAGTGCCACGTTCAGACTTTCCTGCCCTCAAGATGAACTGTAAAGAAAGATATGAAGGAAAAGCCTGATAACAACAGTTAAATTATATTTACATCAAAAATTGAGGTAATGTATATATAACTTCACAGTAGCACCAAAGAAAAGGTATTTGTTGCACTTATGTTGATGCATACAAATGATTATGTACTAGCACCATTCTTTACACAATGTGTTATTTAAATGGTACTTTCTACAGAGTAGTGATTTGTCTTCTTCAATATTGTAAAATGAAGCATTTAATAGTTCTGTGCCATAGGCACAGTAAATGGGGAGTTATCATGAGGAGTGGTATTGATGCTTCAGTGAGAGAATACCGAAAGCAGCTATTTATTTATTGTGTAAATTGAGATCATTATACAATAGAACTGCTGCAGCAAAAGGTCCATAGGCTGCAGAAATCAAATAGATAACACAAGTATTCTAATGCCATATTCGATCACTGCAGATGCAAATAGTGAGACTGTTACCTAATAAAGTATGATTCTCTATTATTTGAATTTAATTTCTCCCACTTTTCTGTTTTATGCAAAATTTTCAGATTTATATGAAACAATTTAATATCTACTAGGGAATTTATTTCTGTCAAATAATTTACAAAAATGTTGGAGTTCACAAAAAACTGCACTCTAGAGGGGAATAGAAAACAGTAAAGACTTCAAAAATACTTTCTGATAGGTATCATAAAATTCATTATCATTATAAATACACACACTGTGCTAAACAGAAATATAATTTCTTACAAAAATCCCATAATATAGATTTGTGCCAGAGTAGGGTACACACTATTTTAAATTCTGTGAGTTTTTTGTGTACTTCACAGACTCTAAGGGTTTGATCACACTATTTAGCATGAGAAGAGCTGTGCTATTTTGAATGAAAAAGAACCAGCACTTGAGTGTCTAGAATTTTTTGGGACTATTCCCCCAGTTAATACCCTTTAGAATCAATATTTACACAATATTTAGTCCATGAGTTGGCTATAACCATTAGGTTTCCCCATTGGTACTGCCTTCTGACAGGAATCAATGAAATATATTATTTACTAAAATTCATCTGGGAAAAATGAGCTTATATACAAATGTAGAAACACTTGAAAATTCATCTTCTTTTATGTCAATGAAAACATTTGTAACATCATGACATATTTTCTTCTGTTAAGATGGAAATTTTATGGTATTTTTCTTCTTTGTTGTTACTTTTTTCTCCAATTCCCTCTCCCAACATAAATGGATGCACTGAAATACTACAGAAAGAATGGACTGCTTTGTGCAGTTATAGACTAATATATTTTTTTTTTTCCACAAGATTAACTTAATATTATCAAGTTATATCATTTACTCAGAGTTTGGCTTTTAACAGGATGTGAATCAAATGCCATTCTTTTTGATGTTTAATCTTTGCTAGCATGCAGTCCAAACGAGGAGGTGGGATCGTTATTTTTATGGCATGTAAAAGAATTGGTTCTTCCTTTTATCTATATTATCTCTGTAGTTTCTAGTAAAGATCTACAAGATCCAACGTGACCTCTCCACTTATATCCTCCTTCCATCTTTTGGCCCCTGCTCCTGTCTGTGACTCCATCTCTTCCCACTTCAACACCATGACTTCTTGAGCCCTGCTGTCCATTCTCCTGTTTCTTCTCCTAACAATATAATCATACTGTAATATCCAGCGGCTTCTGAAAGTCCCACTTCTTTTCTGTAACTTCTTCCCTTCATCGGTGAACTGCTTGAACTCATAGATTATAGCAATTGCCTCAAGTTCCTTTCCTCTCAATCCAACACAGATCTCCTCTAATTTGACTTTTATTGTACACCAAGGATATGCTAACATCAAGGCCTACAATGACCTCTCCATGTCAAGTCTCAGGGCCTTTGCTCCGTATTTGAACTCTGCTGTTTTTATCATGACTGATCATACATTCCTTTTCAAAATCATGCCTTGCCTTTGCAACTCTGTCCTCTCCTCACCATTTAACTACTCTGACTTGAACATGTAACATATGGGCCACAAGTGGGAAAGAAAGGAAATTGTACTAGACTTCTAAAGCTCTGTTAAATGAAAATATAGATCTTTTCTGAAACAGACCTTGTCATATTGCATTGTGAATTTCTTAATGTAAGCAACAAAAGCCTGATTATCTGTGGCTTGTATAGTTCTGTCATCTTCAGTAATTTTGTATTCCACTTCTCTTTTCATATTATTTTTCAAGTTGAGCAGGAATGGTAAAGGCAGCCAGCAGCATACTATCATACTGTTCAGGAGTTTTGGAGATTTTGTTATATGTACAAATAGCCCTAAATATCATCTTATGAGACAATAAAGCAGTGTTGCGCTATCATAACCTTTATATCAGGCTTCCAAAGAAAACCAAATTGAAGGTGCACATGAGAAGAAAACAAACAAACTTCCTTGTAGCTAAATGAATGTGTATATAAAACTTTAGCCCCTAGCCCATAATGTGTTCATAATTTGGGCCTGGATGATCAGTGATGTTCTATAACTTCAGTTTTTTAATTTATTAGTCATAACTTATTCCCAGTTTTGAACTCTCTGACCATTGTCATAAGTATCTATAAGTACTCTAAGGTGCTATCAAGACAGTTCAAGTTTGTGTCAAACTAAAAGTATTGCTAGGAGAATGTCAACATGAAATACATTAAACATAAAAACTCTGTGAAGTCAGAAACAGTGTGGGATCAGATTTTAAATATTTTTCCAACATTACTTCAGTATATCTTTGGCATTTTGAACATTACCATGCTGCAGTTAGAAAAATAATATGACACTTAAAAAAGAAGAAGACTTTATTTGAGTAAACTATTTTACCTGTAATCCAGGAAACACATTTAGGGCTCTGTCTGAAGAAATAAAACTGGACTTATATTTTGTACCCGGGAAGAGAAGACTTACTTATGCCTCTGAACAAACTGGATTAATTCTAATTATTATGTAGGTATATTTAACAACTTACGTAAAAGCGCTGAAGTGAAACAAAATTCAGCTGCCAGAAAATGTGTGGCATAACATGGAACACTTTTTTAAAGATTTGAAGTATTTATTATCATAAGTAACATTTTCACTCACAAAAATCACACATTGGCCTTATAGTCTAATAGGTAGGGTATTTAGCATAAACATTGTTTGAACTCTCATCTGGAGTGGTATGACTATATAATATGCCACAGAATAAAACAGAAGGAGAAGGAAAGGAGAATGGCACAGGAAGTAAGACGACAAATAAAATACAATATCTGACAAGATTATTTTGCACTGTAGAAATAAGTCTGAATTTTAGTTAAAGTGTTTAGTAAGTATCACATGCTGTGGGATATATTGTCAAAACACTAATGTTTATCTAGATATTTCTTAGTCAATAATTACCATAACTTGTATGCACAAGAATAAAAAATCTTGAAATAGCATAAAGCCACATCCTTCCTGAGTCCTATTTGTACCTCTCTCCTTCCTAGTTTTGCACATATAAACAAGTACTCCTATTCTTGGCATAGAATAGGAGTCATCCTAAAAGTGGTGTCATCCTCTTTTCCACTCTCTTCTATGTTTTTGTCTATAGAACTCCTTAAATTGTATTCTTTCCCTTCTACTACTATGAGTTGATCTACCTATCATGTTGGCTGCACAAAAGAATAAAAGACTGTGTAACAAAACACTTACTGGGAAAAGAAATGCCAGTTGCAAAAAAAATATATAAAAAATGGGGAGCTGCTTTTTTGTCCTTAGAAATGCTCTTTACAATGATAGCTAGGCTACTAACTCTGGAGGCATGTCATGACTGTAAAGCTGTGACAACATCAGAAGGAACCAACTAAAAGCAGTTCTAGTTTTATTTGCTGGTTCAAAGAGGTCAACACAGCATTGCAAAATATAAAGTAGTAAAGACTGATTCCCTTAAATGAATATGCCTTTCATAACAAGGTTAAAAATAGAGACATCATAATGATAAAACTGATGCCGACCAATGTTTTAACTCCACATTACTGAAATATGGTGATACAGAAGAAATAGAAAGCACAAATTAAAAAAATAGGCTGTATTTCTGCTCTTCAAAGGATTATGTAGTACATCTTGAGGTATTTTGTTTCTTTCATTTCTCCTTACTAGTTTGTATGAGTCACTTTTATTCATGGTCACCTCAGACAATAGCCATGTGAAATTCTGATTTGTTTTGATAC